CTGAAGCAATGTAAGGAGTAATTGGTACCAGACTACGAGTTTTTTTCGCGGTATTTTTGTTTTGCACTTTGATGCAATAATGGTATAACCGTATAGGTACATTTGAATGCTAACTTTATAGTTTATAACAATAAAGAAATTTCTTCTTTTCATTAATTTTTATATTTCTTTAGATTTAATGACGACATAACGTAAAACTTTCTAAAACATATCTGCTGATGATAAATAATTTAGCATTTATTGAGGCCCATGTCCTATATGGTAGCATAGATGGCCGACCTAATTGGCAATTGCTGGTCATCATTCTGCTTTTTGCTGCGATTCATCCTTTTAAATTAAGACTTAATTTCAGTGGTTCCGAAGATAATTCTGAGAGGAGACAGAAATACCCATGCCTCAATGAGTGGTGTGGCCCGTGGGAAAACGCTGGGAAGTCGCGGGATGCATCTCATTACGAATTATATTCGTGGCCGTGGCGACCTCCAAGTCCTCCTTGTAAACCATCAGCGGATAGCCGTACTGCTGTCATTGGCTGATCCCAGTGGACCAGTACCGCCATGGACGGTCCGAGCCCGGTCCTGACCGGGCCCACCGCGCGCACAGCCTCCATTGCGGTAATGCCGCACAGAGGCCACGCACCAATTGCGTAGCCGAGTGCGTGCCCCTCTCCGCGCCGGCCTCTGATTGGCTGAGCGGCCGCCGGCGCGCGCCACTCACCGGCCGCTCCCACGCACACTGTGCGTGTGGCCGGCCGACGCGCACGCACACTGGCTGCGTGTCGCCCCGCCCCGTCTCGGCATTGGTCAGCGTCGCCGGGCGGCGGGCGGCGGGGCGCGGCCGTCACGGCCGGCCGCTGACCGGCCGCCAACCCGTCAAACACTGGCTCATGCCGTGAACCGGGCAACCGGCGGGCCTGAGTAAAAACTCGCCCGGCCGGTCCACACGGCTGACGGCACCCGAGCAGCTCGCGGTCCGGCTCTCCCGGCCCGGCCGGCCAACCAGAGGTGATGGGCCGCTCCGCCAGGGGCGCGCCGCGGGCCCCGTCCGGCGGCGGCCCGGGGCCCGGGGCCCGGCCGGCGGCCCTGGCGGCCCCATTCACGGCCGGCGGCCTGGCACTCTGCCTGCCCGTCAATCGGCGCCGGCCGGCCGCCGAGCGGCGTCCCAACTCAAACTGGGTCACCAGCGGCTGTCCCGTTAGCCGGCGTGTGGGCCGGCGGCGGCGGCGGCCGCGGAGGCCCGTCGGCCACGCACTGCGAGCCGCCGCCGCCGCTCGGCCCGGCCGCTGAGTCGCTCCGTCCGGGACGCAGTCGTTCCGTCGCTCAGTCGGTGGATGTGCTCTGTTGCCGGGCCGGCGCGGCGGCCCGAGCCGTGCCGTGTTTATCGCTCTACGGATACTGGCACTGGCGTGCCACGGCCGACAGTACAGCCAAAGCCACGGCCGCGGCTGACAGTACAGCCACAGCCACGGCCGCGGCGGGAAGCCACAGCCAGGACGGACAGACATAGCCACGGCGGACAGTCACAGCTACGGCGGGAAGCCACAGCGGACAGCACAGTCACGGTGGAGAGCCATAGCGTCACAACAGGCCATGGGGTCATTGGGAGCGGCCGGCGGCAGCTGGGAAGGTAACTTAGCGAGCACGCAAGGGACGAAAACGTGTGCCGGGGACGAGTATAAATGCATGGATCAATATCAGCAAATGCTTTGGATCAAAAGCAGGTGTCCGAGCAAGTAAATATAAAAACAAACTAGACGACAAATACCAAGTGTACCGAAAACTTATCACTAAACAAAGAAACGCCACGAACTTTGAGACAGACTGACAGACCGACAGACAGACGGAATGACAAGCCGACAGACAGTCGGCCGGACGGCGGGGGACCCATCATACAAAGCACCGAGTGACCTCCTACCGACTCGGTCGACCAGACGGCCGGCCAGACGGTCTATTTTGGCGCGTTACATCAGTGGCCGGCACGTGTACTGTGTCTGTGGCTGTGACGGGCCCTCTCCCGCAGAGCTGTCTGGCACACCGTCCGCCGTCACCGGCTCCGGAGACAAAGGCTGCTGCGTGTTCTCCGATCGATGCGGCCATACTAATCGGTGGCCGCCGCCGCCGCTGCTCGCGAGACACGTGATCGCACGACGACGGCCGGCAGATATCGATTGGCGAACGGGCGCCGGCCGCTCAGGGAAAGCCACCGCCGCCGCCGGCCGGCTCCGAGGAAACTGACACTGACACCGACACCGACACAGGCGCGCGGAGGTCCGCCACAGCAGCTGGCCGCGGGAATATATCGATCCGCGCGGAAGGAGCATTGCGACACAGGGCGGAGGACGAGGCCGGCCGATCGGCGCGGCTCGGCGCCCGGAGCCGCCGGCCCAACCCGCGCCGAGGAGGATGTGACCTGACCGACCGGTGGGTGTCAGCGCGCGCCGTATGGAGCTGCGTCCGGCAGTGACGAACTGTCGGCACCGCCTGTCTGCCGGTGACGTCACCGGCCAGACGGGTGACGTCACGGGCGCGCCATGGGCTGCCCGGCGGCTGCCGAGCTGCTGCCACCCGCCGGCGCTCCAACAGACTGACGGTGGAGTGGTGAGGAGGTGCGGAGCTGTGAGCTCGCCGGGTCAGACACTGACGGAGCGCAGAGCTGTGACCGGAGCCGCTGTGACACGTGACCGGGACGCCTGTGACCGGCCGGCCGGCGGCTGTGGTCACGTGACCGCGGGCGCCGCCGGCCGCGCTGGCGGCGTGTCTGCCCGGTCCAAGGTCGCTGGCCGCTGCGCCGGCCGAGCGGCCAGCCGGGCCGGCCCGGCCGCCGCCGCCGGCGCCCCAAAAAGTGAAATCGGTCGGCGCGCGCGCGACGAGCTGGCCTTTCGATCGGCGGCGCGGCGCGGCGGCCGCCCGTCGGCGGGCTTTTTGTGAGTCGGCTGGGCTCGGCGGCGGCGGTGCGCGCGAACTGGCCGGCTGCCAGCGGGAGCGCGGGAGCGCGGGACACCACCTGCCGGCGCTGCAACACCGCCAGGTACAGTCGGACCCCTTCCCCGCCCCTCGGCCCCTCCGGCAGCCCCGGCGCGCCGCCATTGCCGCGTTCACGCCATGCCGTGTCTTGGCGCGCTATGAGCGCGTGCGGCACGGCAGACCGTCAGAAAAAGTTGACCCTTGGCCCCGCCCTCGTCTTGAACTGCTTGCCACTATCAAACAAATTTGATAACACTCATTTGCTGATTCCCGAACAAACGCTTTCAATGAGGCAACAGACGTCGACCAGGCGACAGACATGGCGCTTGGCGATATTTTCAGCATCAATATCATTTTATTTTATGCAGCATATCTTACAGTTGTCTAAAGCCTTATTTTGAATTGATTTCTTGGTGATCTCTCTGTAACTTCTGGTCAGTCTTTTTCAGAATTATATTTGTAGTTGATGAGCAGGTCCTGATTTGCGATATTTGATTGGTGTTATTTGCTAAAAGTCTTTAAAATGTTGTTTTGCTATCGTTTGTCACAGACTGGCCATAAATCAAAATATAGTTTTTGCACTTAGCAGATAGCAGAGTGACTTTTTGACCATTTTTCTTGATTCTCACTGCACTTGCGTCATAGTTGTCTCCAGTCCTACCATATATATTATTTTCGTTCTGGCTCGATTTCCTTAGTCTCCGTCTTTGCCATCTTGAAAAAAAATTGATAAGTTATGGATTATTTATAAGTTAATGACTACATGAGTGTTTTTTTGTGCTTTGTAACAACTTCAAATGATATTCTGGGACGTTCTTAAATCTATTTTTAACATATTTTGATTTTTTCTTATGTGAGCTTATTCTTGATCACTACGCCACGCTGCCCATGGGCGAGGAGAGAAAATGAACAGCGTAAAAAGTTAGAAACCATTTCATGTCACGTCAAGCCGTTTGGCCTCGGCCGACCCTCTGGTGTCCTTGAGTGAACGCACAGCTGCCGAGGGCCCCAACGGGTGCTCCTTTGTGGAAACTATCATTAAGGACGGGCTCCACCAGCAGTCCACGTGGGGGTTTTCCAACACCGTCCATGGAAATCATACCTACCTACATCATATTTCAGACCGATTGACTGAGGAACTTGGTTGGAAGGGCCCGAACGTCTCACAAATCGATAAACGTAAATAATCAATGAAAACTTAACTGGGAGTGGACATATAACGGCGAAAGCTTCTAAAAGGAAGCTGCATTCGTTTTTTTTTTAAGAAATCAAAGAGAAATAATCATTCAAAAACAAAATTGCAATCATTTTTGCTCAGTTTGCTATGTTGCTGCTCTCCAGCCCATGATTTATAGCTGTATTTTGAAAGATGAGAACGTTTTGAACAAGCGGCACCTTCTGTACCTACCTATGTTGTTAGTTCACTGCAGCGCACGCTTGATGTAAAAAAGACAGTATTTGTGACCAGCAGCTCGGAACACGTGTGATAAAAAATAAATTAGATTAATAGCTACCGCCGAACCGTACTCGCGCAGCACCCGAGTGGCACCGGCGGCGCACGCGGCCACGTGCAGTGGTTTTTGTGGCCGTTTTTTGTGCGCCCGGCGCCCGGCCCGGCCCTGTGATGACCCGGTGATACAGGTGCAGCCGTCACTGCGCGTCCAATACGTCACGTCACTGCGCGTCCAATGGGTCACGTCACTCTGCGTCCAATGCGTCACGGCATTGCGCGTCACGCCACCTCGCTACATTGGCCACATCAGACGTGATTCCAGGGAACAGTGTCCTGAGATGCGAGAGAAAGTAATCCATTGCAAATCACGTATCTCGGTCAGTTACTGCCTTCTCTTGGTGTCGAGATGGGCTCACATGAGATCAAATTTGAGATTTGATCATTACATGGAAATCACAGCGATGGAGGAAGCTTGACAACTAGACCTCGTTCAAAAGAATTGTAGCCGCCGAGCCGCTGTTCGCTGTAACGGACATTATTTTCGATTCGTTGGGTGAGATGCCTTTGGTGAAATGCGAAACTTCAGCTAATGATTTATTCAAATCTTAGTTCATCTCTATGTCATGTCATGTCATGTCGTTAAAGCTTTATGCATCTTACGGCTCAGAGCTAAATCAATTAGTATACACAAAACTACGCATCGTATACAGCAATCGAAAACCCACCAATTTTAGCCTTTTTCGATGACCTGGAAATTTAAATTAAATCTCGCGGGCATCGCACGCGAATATAACTAACGGCGCCGCCACATGACAGACTATTTACAAATATGTACAATACCGTATCGGAATAACGTGATGAGGCGGCAACACTCCCCACCTTGACCCGATCAGGGCTCAACACTCACTACACAACTGCACATGCCATTAAAGCTGACCGCTGTACAGCATACACTTACGTCACCTTTGTGGCATCAACTTTCTAACGCGCCATGCAAATGAGCGCCTGCCACATTTGAGCCCTATTTGGTTCAATAACAGGTCCTAAATACTACCGCGCTAAACAAGCACTATTCAACTGTTAGAACGTCAGCATGACAAGCACCAACACAAGGCTCATCACCGATCCATCAATTGTCTCAACTATTTCTGGTCACCATCGCGATCGGTGCGGCATGGTGCTCTGACGAGTAGCACCTTACAGAGATGCTATATCTTTGTGTTCTCACTATTCTGCCTCCAAGATGAGAACGAGCTTCGATATCGGCCTCTTCAGAACTGACGTCTCGGTCTGTACCATCGCAGATCGGACGAAGCCTTTCCGGTCCGGGAAAGTCTCTTTGATTCGGCCCAGAGGCCACCTGGAGCGTGGTGTGCTCGTATCCATGACAAGCACTACGTCATTAACTGCTATATTTCGTTCCACCTTGTTCCACTTGTGTCTCAGTTGTAATAGCGGCAAATACTCCCGAATCCATCGTTTCCAGAAGATATCGGCCAAATACTGCATTTGTCTCCATCTTCGAGCAGACCGGCTGTCCCTGGCGGTGAACAGGCTGTCTGGCGTAGGACCGCCCCTCAGCAGGAGAAGGTCATTTGGGGTCAGCGGCTGCAAGTCTGTTGCATCACCTGAGACGGTGGTGATTGGAGTCGAATTCAGTATTGACTCGACCTCGCACAACAGCGTGCGGAGCGATTCTTCCGTCAGCGTTTGTTCCCGAAGGAGCCCATTCAGAATCTTTCTGATGGAGCGAATTTGTCTCTCCCACACCCCACCGTGTGATGATGCACCAGGTGGGTTGAATATCCACGTGATACCCTCCTTCAGGAGAAATTCGTGGACTTTCTTCTCTTGAAGTCTCTTCAACTCTTCGCGCAATTCTTTCTCGGCCGCCACAAAGTTGGTACCGTTGTCCGACCGTATAAGCGTAGCCTGACCTCTCCGAGCCTGGAAACGCCGCAATGCGTTGATGAATGAACTGGTGTCGAGGCTCTCGCATAGCTCTATGTGTACAGCTCTACTGGAAAGACAGCTGAATAAAACAGCATATCTCTTGAGCTGTTTTCTACCCATTTTCACATAAAATGGACCAAAGAAGTCCGTTCCAACTTGGCTGAACGCACCCATGTGCGCTGTCGTTCTCTCTGCTGGCAGGTCTGCCATGATCTGCGTGACCGGGGGGGCCTGCAGCCTCCTGCAGCGAACGCACTTGGAGAGAACTCTGCGGACCGCTGAGTTGCCATCCACTATCCAATACTTGCAACGTAATGCTGCCAGAACATGTTCCCTGCCTGAATGACCTCTGCGCTCGTGCATATCTCGGATGACAAGATCTGTGACATGGCCTTTCTTCGGCAGAATGATCTGGTGGATTGATGACGGTGATAGTCGTGAATTTCCTAAGCGGCCTCCCACTCTGAGTACGCCGTCTACTTTCGCTGGATTCAGTCTGTACAGAGAGCTGGACTTTTTCACTGTTGAGCAAGACAGCTCATCTGGAAAGGATGTCTCTTGTACGTATTTGACGATGGCCATTTCTGCTCTCGTTAGCTCTTCTGCTGTCAATCTCGCACACTGATAGGTACGCGCGAGACCAGCACGACCTCTCTTTCTGGCGTCACGGTTGCGGAGAACATCCTTTAAACGAAGTATCCAGGCCACTCGAGTCTTCAGCTTGTGCCAATCCGATGCACTGTGTAGGAGGCGCATGGTGTGATCCTCGTCTGTAGCTACGACATTCACATAGGGTTTCTTCACTTCCAGTGGCTCAGCATCCGAGCTGGATCTGAGGTCTGGCTGTTCCGGCCACTCTGACTTCGGACGTTTGAGGAACGCTGGCCCACCAATCCAATCGGACTCGTTCAGTTCCCGTGCTGAGCTACCACGCGACAGAAGATCGGCCGTATTCAACGCCGACGGCACATACAGCCATTGGTGCGGTTTGGAGCCATCATGAATGATTGTCAGACGATTTGCTACAAATGTTTGAAATCGAGATGTCTCGTTATTGATGTATCTCATGTTTGACATGCTGTCGGTCCAGAAAAACACTTCCTCTATTGGCAGTTCCAATTCTTGACGGATCTGAGTGCTGAGTTGAACCGCTAATGTGGCGGCCGCAAGTTCTAGTCGTGGAATTGAGCATGTCTTCAGTGGAGCTACTCTCGACTTACTCATAAGAAATGCTGTATGCACTGACCCGTCATCTGCAGTTGTTACATAGTAAGCTACTGCCCCATAGGCGGACTCGCTGGCATCGGCGAACAAATGAAGCTGATGTCCATGTATTGGAACGTTCGGAGTCAAACTCCTGGGCACGGAAAATGCGTGTAACTGTTCCAACTGCCGACACCATTCGTTCCATTTTCTCAAATGGACGGCCGGTATTTGTTCATCCCAGTCCAACTTCATCCTGCAGAGGTCCTGGAGTAGTATTTTCGCCGGCAGAATGAATGGAGCTCCGAAGCCTAGAGGGTCATACACTGCGCTGACGGTCCCCAAAATTCCTCTTCTGGTTGCTGGACCCTTTCGGATATCGATACGAAAACTGAGCGTGTCGTTTTGAACATTCCATTGTACGCCAAGAGCCCTCTGTGGCATAGGGCTATCTCCAGTAAGGTCTACCTTGTCAGGGAAGACACAATCCACCTCGGGCAGCCCACTCAGCGTTTCAGGGCTGTTACTCACGAATCCGGTCAATCGGAAACCTCCCCTAGCACAACATTCTCTCACTCCTTGAGTAACATCCTTCAGTTCTTCGGCCGTTGAGCATGACTTCAGAAAGTCATCGACGTAGAATGACCTCTCGATACTGTGTCTGACGTCTGTATGGAAGTCATTACCAAAATCCTGTGCCGATCTTCTCAGCGCAAAACTTGCACATGAAGGCGAGCTGACAGCGCCGAACAGGTGAACGTTGACCTGATATTCCTGCAGATCCTTTCTTACGTCACCGTCAGGCCACCACAGGAAGCGTAGTAGACTTCTTTGCCTTGATGGAACGCGCACTTGGTAAAACATTTTCTCGATGTCGGCCATGACTGCGAATGGCCGTTCTCTGAATCTCATCAGAACGCCGAGGAGAGAACTGGTGAGGTTTGGGCCCTGCATAAGACGATCGTTCAGTGAGGCGTTTCGAAACTTTGCGGAACAGTCGTACACTACACGAATCTTGTCCGGCTTGACGGGGTGGTAAACTCCATGATGTGGAATGTACCAGGTTTGCCCAGCGGTTTTGAGGTGACTGTCTTTGACTCTCTCGGCATAGTTCTTCTCGATCAAGTCATTAACAAATTTCTTGTAATCTTCCATGTACTTGTCGTTTTTTTTTCATTTTCCTTTTCAGGTGCTCAGCTCTAAGCAATGCCTGTTGCTTATTGTCTGGAAATGGTGCGTCTTCTTTCAGAGGTAAGGGAATCTCGTAATGTCCATCGATATAGCGTGTTCCCGCTTCGACCGTTTTCAACCACACTCTGTCCTCCACTGACAGTCCCACGTCGGTGGAGCTGCCGTTGTCTTCGAATTCCTTATTATATAGCGAGACGAACTTCTCATGAATATCAGAATCACCTCTGAGTACACTGACTCTGTTTACTCTTGCCGCTCCATGATCTCTGGTGGATCGGAGTTCTCGGGGTCCATACACAGCCCAGCCCAGCTCTGAACGGAACGCAAATGGCTCGCCTTCACCGCCTCTCCTGACCTCAAGTGGACACAAAGCCTCGGGACAGTTTCCGCCAATCATGAGGCCGATCTCAGCGTCTACTTGTGTCAGAGGAATTCCCTCGAGATGCATCCATTTACCGATGTCGGCTGGGGTTGCGATGTCCTCGTGTTTAACTGGTATCCTTTCAAGTGTGTAGGTGGGTGGCAGCTGAACAGCAGTTGAAGAATGAAGGCCTGTGATAGATAAGCCCTCGACTACTTGACATTGTACGGACTGATTTTCAGAAGCAGCAGTCATCATCGTCAGCTTTGTCGCTTTTCCCTTGACGTTCAGCCTTTTAAGCAGAAGATCTGTGCAGAATGTTGCACTTGACCCGAGGTCCAGGAAAGCATGAGTGACGACCGATCGTGAGCCGTCAGGTGATCGAACTAACACGGGTATCACTGCCATCATTGTGGACGAGTCTCCGCGAGCACCAGCCGCCACTTCTGCGCCGTCTATCTCCAATCGTCCGTTTCTTACGACGGCTGCCGGCCCTGCACTGCTACCACTGCTTTGCTTGTTTGTAGCAGAAAATTCGGAAGGAGATGCCTGCTTGTCGTTGTGCAGCGGAGTCGGATGGCGACCCTTGCAGATCTTGCAGGACAGCCTTTTTGTGCACACACTGATCTGATGCCGCTGCCGAAGGCACCCGAAGCAAAGTCTTTGTTCAACGATGAACGTTCTTCTCTTTTCATAGGGCTCATGATTCAGCCTCTCACAGGAATCCGTTGAATGTTGCTCGGCACAGTACAGGCACGTCATCACCCGAGGAGATGCGTCCTTATTGACACCTGTTGCAGACACGATGTGAGGCTTCTTACCGCTTCCATCTGGCTTGGTCAGCTTCCCGAAGGTGGGATCTGTGATTTTTCTCACTTCTCTGTCAACGAAAACTACGATGTCTTCAAATGTCACCTTTCTGTTTGCTTCTTCCTTTATTTGTATCACTCTATTGCGCCAGCTGTCCTGGCAGTGATAGGGAAGCTTTTCCACTATCTTGCGCATCGTTCTTGGATGGTCGGTCTCTCTCGACCCTGGAGGTATATCTTTCATCACGTTGAGACACGACGTGAGCGCGATGGAGAACTTGTCCAGGCTGTCCACATCACCCGGCTTGATAGAATTCCAATCAGTCAGAATGTCGACAAATGCTGAAGACACCGAATCAGGGTCTCCATATCGCCTGTTGAGCAGGCGCCTGGCCTCCAGATAACCCGACCCATCTGACATATGCGCGCATCCACGTACGATATCAAGAGGCTTCCCGCGCAAATAGGTCTGAAGATAATAAAGCCTCTCGTCGGGATCATCAGTTTTACTGGCGACTCTGGAGTCGAAAGCTCTAACAAAACTGCGATACTTCGTTACATCGCCGTCGAAGACCGGTATCTCCAGCTTAGGCAACTGGCCCTTCTGAAGCTGAGTGAGCAGCACCCTTGAGTAGTCTGCCTGCTGTGACTGCTGAGGCTCTGTGTGACCCCTCTGCTCTGTCGCTGCTCCTGCTGCCTCCGAGTCGTCTATGCTCCTAGCATCGTGCGTGCTGGGCTCCCGCGATCTCCCAGACGGTCCATCAGAACAGCGACGCTCTTGAGTAGGGTTCCTGAGCCCTGTTTCTGGCTCAGCATTCCCAGAAGTCAGAGACTGAGAGGACGGCTGGTTTTGTCGGTCGGAGAAGGATGTGACTGGTCGTGCCGTGGCCGCCATGCCCTCTGGCTGATCAGCTTCCGCCAGGATCTTCTCTCTTGCCTCCGATTCTGCAAGCTCGGTTCTTATCATTAGTTCCTCTCTACGAAGCCGAAGATTCAGCTCCTCCAATTCGATTTTACGTTTCTCCTGCAGAAACGAGGCTCTTGCCAGCAATGCAGCTCTTTTTGTCGCTTCAATAGCTCGCAGTGAGCGCACTGAGGCGGCAGACGCGGAAGTGTGACAAGAGACAACTGACTCGCCACACACGGATTGGTCATTCAACGCCGCCTCAGTTATGGAGTCGTTATCTTGTCCGTTGTTGTAATCGGCGTCTTCTCGGTTCCTGCTAGAACCATCGTCCTTTTCATATCTCATAAGTTCTTGCAAACGTCGAACTAGAACGGCCTTCGTGCCCTTAATATTTGCGTGTCTCTCCCTCAGTCGCTCTTTCAACTCACTCACGGTAAGTCTGTCAAGCTTGTCCATTTTGTGACTTCCGCGAGTTGCGTCCGATTAACCAATCAAATGCAGCACAGTGGACCGATTGATCTTCTGTGATGCGTTGAATGCGATCGTCTCTCACGTCAGGCCAGGACGAGACGAGACGTCAGTCGTGAAGCGCGTATGAACTCGCCTTCAGACGTTTTCAATTGGTGCAGTCAATCTGTCACGCAAGTCCACTAAAGCCGTCGTTTCCTTGGAAATACAAGAGCTTTTCACATCTTGCAATCATTCTTAGGCCTCATCTCGCAAGCTATTGCAGTCTTGCCGACTTAATCTCGCTTACATCCAAATATGTCATTGTTCTTGCATAGTTCTACGCTTTACATCTCGTTTGGCTTTAACTTCGCACAAAGCTTTATCTTAAAGCTTTTTACTTGAATGCACTGGCTTTAACTAAATGCTTTAGCTTGAATGCATCAGCTTAAACTTAACTGTGAAAAGTTTTAAATGCAAAGCCTTTAAACTAAATGCAAGTTTCGTTCTTCAACTTCGAACAAAGCCTTAACTTTAAGCCTTTACTTTAATCCATCAGCTTTAAGTTAAGTTAAATGCTAAAGCTTTAACTGTAGCCGCCGAGCCGCTGTTCGCTGTAACGGACATTATTTTCGATTCGTTGGGTGAGATGCCTTTGGTGAAATGCGAAACTTCAGCTAATGATTTATTCAAATCTTAGTTCATCTCTATGTCATGTCATGTCATGTCGTTAAAGCTTTATGCATCTTACGGCTCAGAGCTAAATCAATTAGTATACACAAAACTACGCATCGTATACAGCAATCGAAAACCCACCAATTTTAGCCTTTTTCGATGACCTGGAAATTTAAATTAAATCTCGCGGGCATCGCACGCGAATATAACTAACGGCGCCGCCACATGACAGACTATTTACAAATATGTACAATACCGTATCGGAATAACGTGATGAGGCGGCAACAAGAATATTATGTTCAAAATTGATTGACAGTTATGTGTATTCCAGGATATGGGATTGAAAGACAATCGGTTTTAACAATAATGACTTGAAGACGAATTATACCCTCGATCACAGGCAGGCTATGAAATGCCACAGAGCAGCCCCCCCCCCCCCCAAAGTGAGTCCTCCAATCCGGGAAAACCAAAATTTTCGGAAGACATTACCCGTACACAAAGACCGTCGCAGGGCCCTCAGAGGCCAGCGTGGGGTCGTCGTTAGAGCCCTCAGAGGCATTCTGGGGCCCTCAGAGGCCAGCGTGGCTCCTGGTGCATCCGTGGGGTCCTTCAATTATCATCGTGAGGCCATCGGAGGTCGTCGCGTTGGGACCCAGAGTTCGTAGTAAGGGCCCTCAGAGGTCATTGTGAGGGCACTCGGAGACCGTTGTGGGGCCCTCAAAAGCCGGCATGACCCCTAAAGTCTACCTGGGCCCTCAGAGGCCGTCGTTGAGGCCCTCAGAGGCCATCATGGGGCACCAAACGTGACTCGGGACCCTAAAAGCCGGTGAGGGGGCTCCAGAGTCCAGCGTGGGGCGCTTCCGACTGCAATTGGACTTATGTCGTCCCACACCGGCTTCCGTTCCCCGATCACCAATTTTCCAGAGAAAATGTCCTCAATGGTTCGACAGGTCCCTTGTACGAATTTTGGAAGATATGCTTGCATCTCTACGTTTTAAATAGCGGTGCAGCTGCACAGCGCACATCCTGCATCCCCTCTTTCGCCACCTTTGTGTAGATATTAGCGTTTAGGACGAATATTCGAAACACCAGGCACTTTTTATCTATGGTAACTTTCGAAAGCACTGCGGCTTTCTTCCTCAGCCTAGACAGTTAGACACACATAGAATCAAATCAAAATTAACAATTCATCCTAGTCATTCGTTTCGTGATATTAAACATCGTTTAGATACGTATAAGTGGCGCACACTCAAATTTTTCAAAATCATGTGGTCACATGCTTTAATTAAGTCTTCGCTTCTTGGATGAGGAGTAAAAATGTCAGGTAATATCACATACGTCAGCAACGATGAAAAGAAGACATGCCTATCACATGCGTTTCAACATCATAAGCAAATCGTCAAAACGGCGAGTGAACAACATGCATACAAGTATACATATTACAATTCCGCAGGTCCCATCACAGATACACCTTGCACATTTTCACCACCTCAGCACACGGTACACGTTTGCCAGCGGTACACCGGGTTTTGTATTTAGTACATGGTACCTGGTGTACCTGGTTAGTACCTGTATAGTACCTGGTGTTTCGAATATTCGTCCTAAACATGATTCCTTCCCAGGTGAATAACAATATTTATCATTGTAGCTATTAGCATTTTAGCCGATAATCGCAGGTTGTTTGATATAGACAAACATTTTTCGTAACAATAGTATTTTTCTTTTGTATTTGTTGCTGTTGGCTGAACCTCCAGTAGGTATATGTCATTGGAGTCGA